TTACACAGCACTTGGCAAAACATATCAAATCTCTCTGGGTGATCAGGATAAGGCTGCTGCTGCTTCAGTACTTCCATCCTCCTGTTGTTGTTAAACAGTTTCAGGTTTTTGTGTGTGGTGTTCAGGTCCAATGTTAGCTCACAAGCAACTGGTGGAGGAAAGAGAAGAAAATGAAGAAACTGTTTATTGTTTTGTGTAACTGATGACTTTAGCATACATAGATCTATGAGCAGAGTAGCTAATTAAAGGTTTACAGAAAACATTTGAAGATGTTAATTGATACCTTAGTTATACAGTGGGGCAAAAAAGTATTTAGTCAGCCACCGATTGTGCAAGTTCCCCCACCTAAAATGATGACAGAGGTCAGTAATTTGCACCAGAGGTACACTTCAACTGTGAGAGACAGAATGTGAAAAAAAACAAATCCATGAATTCACATGGTAGGATTTGTAAAGAATTTATTCGTAAATCAGGGTGGAAAATAAGTATTTGGTCAATAACAAAAATACAACTCAATACTTTGTAACATAACCTTTGTTGGCAATAACAGAGGTCAAACGTTTACTATAGGTCTTTACCAGGTTTGCACACACAGTAGCTGGTATTTTGGCCCATTCCTCCATGCAGATCTTCTCGAGAGCAGTGATGTTTTGGGGCTGTCGCCGAGCAACACGGACTTTCAACTCCCGCCACAGATTTTCTATGGGGTTGAGGTCTGGAGACTGGCTAGGCCACTCCAGGACTTTCAAATGCTTCTTACGGAGCCACTCCTTTGTTGCCCGGGCGGTGTGTTTTGGATCATTGTCATGTTGGAAGACCCAGCCTCGTTTCATCTTCAAAGTTCTCACTGATGGAAGGAGGTTTTGGCTCAAAATCTCACGATACATGGCCCCATTCATTCTGTCCTTAACACGGATCAGTCGTCCTGTCCCCTTGGCAGAAAAACAGCCCCATAGCATGATGTTTCCACCCCCATGCTTCACAGTAGGTATGGTGTTCTTGGGATGCAACTCAGTATTCTTCTTCCTCCAAACACGACGAGTTGAGTTTATACCAAAAGTTCTACTTTGGTTTCATCTGACCACATGACATTCTCCCAATCCTCTGCTGTATCATCCATGTGCTCTCTGGCAAACTTCAGACGGGCCTGGACATGCACTGGCTTCAGCAGCGGAACACGTCTGGCACTGCGGGATTTGATTCCCTGCCGTTGTAGTGTGTTACTGATGGTGACCTTTGTTACTTTGGTCCCAGCTCTCTGCAGGTCATTCACCAGGTCCCCCCGTGTGGTTCTGGGATCTTTGCTCACCGTTCTCATGATCATTTTGACCCCACGGGATGAGATCTTGCGTGGAGCCCCAGATCGAGGGAGATTATCAGTGGTCTTGTATGTCTTCCATTTTCTGATGATTGCTCCCACAGTTGATTTTTTCACACCAAGCTGCTTGCCTATTGTAGATTCACTCTTCCCAGTCTGGTGCAGGTCTACAATACTTTTCCTGGTGTCCTTCGAAAGCTCTTTGGTCTTGGCCATGGCGGAGTTTGGAGTCTGACTGTTTGAGGCTGTGGACAGGTGTCTTTTATACAGATGATGAGTTCAAACAGGTGCCATTCATACAGGTGGGGGACAGAAAAGCTTCTTACAGAAGACGTTACAGGTCTGAGAGAGCCAGAGATTTTCCATGTTTGAGGTGACCAAATACTTATTTTCCACCCTGATTTACCAATAAATTCTTTACAAAGAAAGAAGAAAAGAAAGTGTACTTTATTGGTCCCCGTGGGGAAAATCCCTCTCTGCATTTAACCCATTCACTCAGTGAAGCAGTGGGCAGCCACTGGGCGCCCGGGGAGCAGTGTGTAGGGACGGTACCTTGCTCAGGGGTACCTCAGGGTAGCTGTTCAGGGGAATCGAACCCCCGACCTTCCGATCATGGGGCAACCACTCTACCTACTGAGCTATCCCTGCCCCAAATTACAAATCCTACCATGTGAATTCATGGATTTTTTTTTCACATTCTGTCTCTCACAGTTGAAGTGTACCTCTGGTGCAAATTACTGACCTCTGTCATCATTTTAAGTGGGGGAACTTGCACAATCGGTGGCTGACTAAATACTTTTTTGCCCCACTGTACTCGGTGCTTGCTCGGAAGTTTAGGGGTTTTTTTTTGCTGTAAAAAGAAGTTTTCTTCCCACGCACGATGGACGCTAATGTTTTTGTCACTTTTTATGGAATCAAACTCAAGGTAAGGTCAGTACTTCCACGCTTTAAACGCTGCACGCTCATACTCTCTCCTTCACTCGATATGTGATCCATTGTTGATCTGCACACAGCTGTGGATCATAGAAATCAGTGATGATACCCAGCCCTAGTGAGCAGCCTAGGCCTGAGAGAGTGGATGTAGCTGTGGGTAATGAGAAAAGATGAAAAGAACGATTGATAACTTTTTCGTTAAGGCCTGATCCTTCTGAAATTCATAGCCAGCTCTGACACTGTTACGTTCCCCCCGAAAGGGTCTAGGCATGTGAGTGAGGGGACTAGTAACAAATGAGTCCAGAACAGAATGAAAGGAAAACAGACCAGTGTTTTCAGTAAATAAAATAGTCTTTATTATAGATCATCTTAACATAAAGAGCCGGCAACGCCGTTTTACCAATAACACTTGGAAAAAGAGAAAAAGGGTTGCAACAACAAAGAACACAACAACCAAACAAAAACTCCACACCACGAGGAGGTACTTCCAGGGGCCCACAAGCTCACCCTGTCACTAACAGCAGTTGGCTTTGCTGCTGCCAAGGCTCACAAGCCCACACTACTCACGCAAAGCAGCTATGCTGTTTCCACAACTCCACACTGTGAGCAGGTTAACCACACACAACGCAGAGACACCAGAGAACACCCCACCCTGTTCACAGCTCATCCCCAGCTTATATGACCTCCGAGAGGTGATTGCTGACTGGGCCCAGGTGGTAAATGAGTCCAATGAGCAGCAGCTGTGTCCTGGGGAGAGAGAAGAGCAAGAGAGAGACGGGGGGGGAGCAAAAGAGGAGGAGGCGGAGAAAAACACCACACCCACACAAGGGCAGTATCAGGAGGCCCAGCTAGGGCCGTAACAGACACGGTGCCATCAATCTTTGAATGCTGAAAAAGCAGCAGTGTAACCAGGAAACACATTATATGCTGCAGTGCCTGAGAGTCCCCTCTCCCCACTGCCTTTCAGCAGCAGACAGCAGCAAACAGGTCGTCAGAGGAGCCGAGATGATGATTAAGTTAAGACAAAAGGACCATCAGGGGGTCCTTTTGTCCGTCTTTGGGGGGGGGGGGAATACCCCCACTGGGTTTAAATCGGTGTGAAACATTTAATGACCACTAACCCACTGTGACTGTGACTTTCCACAGTAATGAGTAACACAGTCAAACATACCAGTAAGCTTCCTGCCTAAATGTGTTACAGGCTGTAAACAAAAGAGACTCAGCACACAAACACATTTTACATACTTCATGTTCCCCCCATCACAAACAAAAGCAACACAATTCTGTGGGCTACATATTGAACACAGAAACAAAGCATTGATCGACTACAATTCATATCTGGATCAATCCACCCGCCTCTAAATCAGACCCGACCAACACAGACTGAAAGTTCATCACTTCCCATCATCAGTCACGGCTCGCCATCACGACACCTTTTAAGGAAAAAGATGAAGCAGGAAAAGAAACAGAAACAGTTTCAGGAGCATCATGTAGAGACGTGCAGGATAAAAATACAAACTGAGAGTCGCAGCACTGAGCAGGACCAAAATCTGACGCTGCAGGACAAATGGGCGTGTATTTAAATCCACAATGAATATCTGAACACCGTCAGCTAACCTGTCAGTCCAACAGTGACCCAGAGCAGACATCCACTAAACAAAAGCAGGAAACACCAGAAGAAGGTGAAAGTTTTAGATGATCCATCTGAAATCTGTGGGGTGACCTGATGAGGTAAATGGTACATGGCCTGCATTTGTATAGCGCTTGTCTAGTCCATAGGACCCCAAAGCGCTTCACACTACATTCAGTCATTCACACACATTCACACACACATTCACACACACATTCACACACTGGCGATGGCAGCTACATTGTAGCCACAGCTGCCCTGGGGCGCACTGACAGAGGCGAGGGCGCTCATAGAGCTGCAATGTTACTGCAAACATTGGCAAAAATCTGAAGGTGCTTCTACAGAGTTTGAGAAACACCTTTAGGGGTCTTCACCTGAATGCGACCAGGTTATTGTAGGTTTTTATTTTATCCCCGTTAATATTCCAGCCCAGTTCAGGGCGATGGTGGCGTTAAAGGTGGAAATGTTCAGGATTAAGGTGAGTTTCCAGACATTTCTGCTGATTCAGTGATCCTGTCTCTGACTGTGACTATGATGAAGCACAGGTGAGGCCACATGCTGCTGTTTTGTAGGTTTCTCTTCAGATCTGTGACGCTGTCTGCATGATTTATGATGGACTAGTGACACTTTAAAGTGTGATCTCACCCCAACCGGTCGTGGCTGCCCCTCCCTGAGCCTGGTTCTGCTGGAGGTTTCTTCCTGTTAAAAGGGAGTTTTTTGTTCCCACTGTCACCAAAGTGCTGCTCATAGGGGGTCATATGATTGTTGGGTTTTTCTCTGTATGTATTATTGAAGGAGCTACCTTACAATATAAAGCACCTTGAGGCGACTGTTGTTGTGATTTGGTCCTGTGTCAGTAAAGTTGAATAATGTCTCTGTTTGGCAGACAGGATCTGTACCACACACCAGGAGGAGGTCACTTGTTATGATTAAGATGCAGGATTACATGGAAAAAAGATCATTTAATAATGAACTTGTGATGTTGGTGTAACAGAGGGATTCTTCACTTGATGCCTGATTTTGTGCAGGTGCGTTCTGACTGAGCTCAGTCAGACGAGTAGTGAAAGCGTGGAGCAGAGGGAAGTGTTGAGCGTGTAACAGGGAAGTGATGAAGCTGAAAGCGTCTCTGCTGCTCAGGCTTCAGACTCTCAGTCGTCACTCAGACATGAAGACTGCGTCCGTCTGTCTGCTCCGGGGTGAGTGAACATCCTTACAGCTTCATCCAACACGCGCTCAGACAGCACGTCTGCATGAGTGCATCAGGGACGCTTCCACTGATGTATCACCTGAGTATCTGCAGGCACATGAGCTCAGTACCTGTTCTGCTCAGAGTCGGGATGAGGTTCTTGGTTCTGGTTTTCCTTCAGTCGAGGAACATAAAAATCCTAAAACAGCATCATTTCTGAACTGAGCTTTCATTGACCTCTGACCCTCAGTGACCTCTGCCCTCCTGTTGCAGGTGTGTGTGTGCTGCTGCTGTCTGCACCGACTGTTTCTGCAGGTGAGTCTTTTCTAAGTTTATATTTATGATTTCAGGAGACAGTCTGCAGTCATTCCCAGTATTCAGATCTCTGTGACAGAACAGAGTGCGTTTCATATATACTGAGCCAATACTAAATGTTTGTCTAACCGCAGTAATCCCACTCAGTTACATGTAATATAGAGCAGTTACATGTAATACAGAGCAGTTACATGTAATACAGAGCAGTTACATGTTTCCAACATTACTCATTTTTACGGAGTTATTCATTCTTTTGGAAGTGCCCTTCTAGTTCTTCATAAAGTTATAAATCTTTTTAAATATGGCCTTTTTCATTGGTTGTGAATGGCCTTATGCACAATGTTCTCCACCAGCTGTACTTTTTCCATTAATACATTTTTACTGCTTAAAGTCTTTAAAATAAACTGTTCGCCGGTCTTAATCTTAAGGAAAGCCCTTTGAAGAGGTCCCTCATTGACCCTGTAGTCACAGACTTACAGTAAGTTGTAGATTTTGTGGATAATTTACCAGAGTAAATATCCGTCTGTCATCACCCTTGTTTCCACGTATCAGGATGGTTCACAGATGCATTAAAGAACAACACATCCACCCTTATTCACAATATAATCTGATATTTTTGCTAATAAGGGTTAAGCATAAAACATCCTGGCTTTTACTTTTTGTATTATGACGTACGTATAATAAATGGTTCGTAGGAAAAAGTCCAAATTTATAAATATCAACAGTGTTAAGACAGAGATGATTAAAATAAGCAAACATTTTGTTAATAAGTTTACGCAGGCACGGTCAGTCATTCCATGTCACATAACACGGACCTTATATAAGGATTTTTAACTTCATATATCAAATACTTTTCAAGATACTTTATAAAAATATCACATTGCAAAAGACATATAGTGACTGAATCGTACTGTACATTAAACATAAAATTCTCAGACACAAAAATAAAGAAACTTTCCTGCATGAATTAGTGCGACTGCAGTGATGCAGACACTGACAGATGCCGGTCCGTCATGGTGAAGAGAGAGCCGTTGATTTATCAGTCGATCTGCATCCCTACCCTCACCCATTCTCACAAACTCTGACTTTGACCGAAAGAATAAGATTGTGGATGCAAACGATGGAAATGAGTTTTCTCCAAGGTGTGGCTGTCAGAGAACAATTTCCTGCAGACTGATTCTTTGCTGATTTAGAATACATTTGCACAATAATTGCAAAAGACAGCCAAAGAAAAAATTAAGTTATTTTATTTACATTTAGCTTTGACTCAAACTCAGAATACGAATATCTGACGATGTGTCAGAGGCATGTGTGGTCCTTTAAAATCTGCCTGTGCCTCAAAACTACGTACTGATTGTACTGATTTTTAATGGTCTTTAAAAGTTCTTAAACAAAGCTCTTCCACTCTTATGCTGATGACACATACACATTTTTGACAGTTATAATTGATGATTTAAAGATTTATAGTCTTTAATACTAACTGTTGAAACATTAATGGCCACAGAGGTTATTTGTATTGACACACTTTAGTTCAATCTCTGGTTAACTGAGCCATACTGTATGTGTGTTGGTACATTTCTCAATATATTTTGAACTAAATGAGGTAAAAACCGTGCTGCACCAGTTGCAGGCATGACAGAGTGGCTTGGCCAACCCCCATTAAAAGAGAGTTGGAGTATTCGAAGCGTGAGGTGACAAAGCATGGATCACAGTTTCCAAGTTCATGCCTGGACAGAAAGGGCTTTAGCTTCGATCTGACGTGATAGAATGAAGATTTCACCGCCATGTGGCCATCAAAACTAAGTGCAGTGTCGATTTTTACCCCAAGATTAGTAACAGAGCTCTTCAAGCGAGGGCTCAGAGCAGCAAAGTGAACATTTGGGATACCAGAAGAACGATTGGGACTGAATAAAATTGCTTCCACTTTTTGTTCATAAAAATGTAAAACATTTAAATCCATGATTTAACTTTGCTAAGACAAGCAGGAGTCCAATCGATGAGCTATCAGAGTGATTGAAAGGTAGATAAAGCTGGCAATCATCAGCATATAGATGAAATGAAATTTCATGTTTTCAGAAAATCACACCAAGTGGCAGGAGATACAATGGAAACAGTAGTAAAGTGTTCCTGGGTGAGATGTCGACATGCCAGGAACACCCAGGAGATGCTCTGGAGGCATCCTGGTCAGATGCCCAAACCAATGAACACAATCTGTGACAAAGGGCAACCCTGGCAGAGTCCAAGACCCACTGGGGACGAGTTCCACTTATTGCCAGCTATGAGGACCAAGGTCTTGTAACGGTTTTATGAGGATCTAATGATCCATAGCAATGGGTCGACTAGTGGACGGACTCTCCTTTCCAGCACCCTGCCTTATACAGCACTAACTAATACACACACTAACTAATACACACTCTAAGCAGAATGGTATTCTGACAGTTGGCATGGTAGTGGAGGTTTGGCATCATCACCAAACACCACGATGGTCAAGAGTTTGAGTCTTGTTAGATTAACTGACAGAGGTGGTCCACCTCTCCCTGAAATTCAGGGTAAACGTTTTGTAGGTCTCCCAGGTTTCAAGGATGTTCCTTAGAGGGCAAGCCAAATTTCTGGATGAGAACTTAAGTGGCAGTCTTCTTCATGTGTCGTCCTCTTCGTCTTCTATTGGCTGCTGCTTTAGCTGGTTCCACAGGAGGTCATCTGCCTCCATCTCATCCTATCACAACATCCTCCTCGGTCACACCAACCCTCTGCACGTCCTCCTTCAAGACATCCATGAACCTACTCTTTGGGTTTCTTCTTTTTCCCCTGGCATCTCCATAGTTGCCATCCCCCACCGATCAGTTGTAGTCAGTCATGCCAAGTAAAGAGTTAATTGGTCTGCATCCTGTCAAATTCAAATTACCATGGCAACCATGCTCATGTGAGCTGGCTGCACATTTGGATTCTGGTTTTGATGCAGGTCGGTGTGAAGTTTGATGATCATCGTGACGCTGGTCCTCTCCTCTTTGGTGGTGATTATCTGTCTGTCTGTCCTCCAGTGTCTCTGTCTGTCAGTCCAAACCTTCAGCAGGTCTTCAGTGGATCTTCAGTGTCTCTGAGTTGTGTTGATGATGGACAGACAGCTGATGGATGGACAGTGAAGATGACCAGCGGAGGACCCACTGAGGACTGTGGAGCAGCTGAGATGAGTGGAAGTTTGTGCGTTTTGGATCGTAACTCGTCCTACGGTGGAACCTTCTGGTGTGAAAGCTCATCTGGACAGCAGAGCGATGAAGTGTCCATCAGTGTTTCAGGTACAGTGAGATGTTCCAGCTGTGTCTCTGTCTATGTGTGACTCCAATCTGATGGTGGAAGTCTGTCTCTGTTTACCTGCTATTCAGAAAAAGGTGTGATCCTGGAGATCCCTGCACTTCCTGTGAGACCAGGAAGTGATGTTACTCTGCAATGCAAGAAGAAGAGTGGTGAAACAGTTCCATCTTTTTTCTTCATGAATGGACGTCTCCTTGGGTCTAAAGCAGAACACGTTATCCCTAATGTCAGGCACTCTGATGAAGGTCTCTACTGGTGCGCTTCTAACACATTTGGATCATCTCCTCAGAGCTTTCTGAGGGTCCGAGGTCAGAACACTGACATAACTCTGTGTTTAAAGACCTGACCTGCTGAGCTGACTCATTAACCTGTTTCATCATGTCTCCTGCAGGGTCTCCTATAACTACTCTCAGAAAGTCCGTCCCTCCACCTCCAGTTTCTGAGGCCAGTTCTTCTCTGTCCACTCTTCCTCCTCTCACCAACTCTTCCTCCCCTTCTTCTCCCTCTGTGTCTTGGATCAGAGTCATCTGCCACCTGTTGGCCTTTTGCGTGTATTGCATCTGCACCATCCTGCTCCTGTCCATCTGCTGCAGCAGGAGCTCAGGTACAAACTCAGGCAGATACTCACAGAAACACTTTGATCACGTCAGCACTGTCCTGATTTCTCCACTCTGTCCACAGGTAACAAACATGATGTCTCCATGGAGATGCCATTGGATGTTGACGAGCATGATGACACCACTGAGCATTATGTTTGAGCAGATGGATCCTCTGATAGAATTAAATGTTTCTAAAGCTGAAAACTCTGAAGTCCTCACTCTGAGTTTCTCAATCAGAACCTGATCTGTTCACTGATCGATCAATAACCCTCAAACTACTGATGAATTACTGAATTATTGGATGAAAGCTTTGTTTGACATTGTTAGCATCTTCAAACATTGAAATCTCTGTGCACCTCTCTCAAGTTATTTACTGCATTTCATTTATTTACCACTGATTCCCAACCTTTGGGAGCCACGGCACATAGTTCACATTGGAAAAATCACACCACCAACAAAAATATCACAGAAAGTATATTGATAGTTTTTCCCTGCACACCAGGTACAGTGGTATCGGCTCGGTTTGTCCCCAGTGTACCTGTTTTACTTTCTTCTGACCACTACTCCTGCTAGGACCTTCATCTGC